ATGGGCAATAAAAGCCCGGTGTATCAAACTCTTGTCAATAAATAAGGGAAATCTTTTTTTTTTCTTTTAAATGTTATCACATAAATTTTGTGCAAATTATATCTTTGAAATAGCCTATGCTTTATTTTTAATTTCAAGTAGTTCATATTTATTTTTAGTTTCATTTTATTATGGAAATTGTTCTTATATTGAACTGTGAAATACAAAACATTAAAATTATCAGTTTGGATAGAATATATATATATATATATATATATATATATATATATATATATATATAGAGTCTGTTTTCAACATTGATAATAATAATAAGATGAAATGTTTCTTGAGCACCAAATAAGCATAATGATTTCTGAAGGATCAAGTGACAATGAAGACTAACGGCTGCTGAAACTTCAGCTTTGCCATCACAGGAATTACATTTTAAAATATTTTAAATTAGACCGCAGTTTTTTTACAATGTAACTCTGGTTACAATATTACTGTTTTGTAGCATTTTGATAAAAAAAAAAAAAAAAAATGCAACCCTTGGGGAGCAAAAAAAATGCAGCCTTGGTGAGCATAGGAGACATTTTTCGAAAACATATTGAATGGTAGAAATAATGTGCCATTTAAATATATTATAAATATATAAACCAAAAGTGTTACAAAAGTATTAAATAATAGTTTTAGAGAGATTTACTATTAATTTTTATCTGTATTGTTTGTGGCACTTGTTTCATGTCCATTTTTTTTCAGTTGTGCTGCTTGAGAGATTTTAGTATTAATAAACACAGACTCTCATAAGCACCAAGTAAATTAAAACTGTGGAAGGAGCATATCAGTTTAACCAGTGGAAACAGTAATGTGTCCGAATATCTTAAATTCCCTGAAATGTCCACCATTGAACTAGCAACTGAAATGAAGTAGTAAAGGCAATAAAGTTGTTAAAAGGACTGAAAAGCTTAAACATACACTAATATACATTTTAATCTAATATTCCGATGTTGAAAACGACCCAACATATTATACATTTCTAGTGTAGTTCCACTCCTCAACCTGCAGGTGGAGACACACCACAACAATTGAGTGAAATTAAAACGCACATAATGCTTCGCGTTGGTTTGTTAGAAGCTCCTTATCTGTGTGGATTCTCCTAAAAGGCATGATCTTGGACAGCTATTTTGACAATATAGTTATAGCTATATAGATAGTTAAACATTTGTACGGTTTAATATTTTAACCCATGAAGAAAATGTAATCTGCACATTTCTGCATCTGAAATTCGACCCCAGAAACCATTAAGTATTTTTAACGTTATGAATCAGTCCACCAACAGGAAATATGACGCTGTAATGGATTAATGCCTGCAAAGCAGCACGTACCTATACACACACACACACACACACCAACCAATTAATCGGTGAAAGAGCACACAAACAGAAACCATAGCTCCAGTGTCTTATATTTTAATAGAAAAAGAAAACATTGAAAAATGTTTTTTAAAAAGGAATCAAACCAGTAATCATGACAGATGCTTGGCTAGCCTGTGTCCCCTCAAAGTGACCCCACCCCACCTCATACTGTTTAATGGTCTCTATGAACAGTAAGAGTACAGGCTGACAACCAGATGCATTTTAGCCACTATTTTTATACTATTGAGTGAAAAAGACCGGGTGAGAAACCTAGGTAAACACTAGCTAAACACATACAGGCCTACGACAAACACCTCATCCCTTTGACAACGATTAACACAGTCAGACCCGGTTCTCTGACACAGATGAACACAAATACAGCCCTCGAAACACACAACACACACACACACACACACAGACACACACACACACAACACAGACACACACAAGACAACCTCATTTCTCTGCCATAGTCTCATCACAGTCCATTACCTGTACTAAAGGGCAGCACAAACAGTCAATACGGATCTTTAAGTTAAATGCTGCCAGTGTGCAGGTGGCTGTAAGGGATATATTTGGATGTGTGTGGGTAACTAGTCTGACTGTATTTCTATCTATTTTCTGAGAACTTTACAAATAATAGCAGGATATACAAAATGAAAGTGTGGACTTGTGTGTTGAAAGAGGGTGTGGTGATTATTTTAGCTTTAAGTCTTTCTCTATGTATGTCTGTGTGCGTGTGACTGAGTGTGTTCTGGGGTCACTGTACAGGCCTGTCCTTTACAGCACAAGCTTGAAGAGGTCTGATCTATGCAATAAGCAAAAAAAAAAAAAAAGGGAAAAAACATTTATGGAACAAACAAATCAGTCTCGACAAATTTAAAAAAGTCCTTCAAAAGGCAGGAGTCCAGACTTGCCACGACGCTCTTATCAAAATATCAAATAATCTGCCAGTTCGTTCATATAGTTGCTCTTAATAAAATATCTCTCATGTTCAATCATTTTTTCCCCCCAAAAACCCACAACACTCCATCTTTACATTCACTCCCCGTTATCTCCAGAGGATGTTTGTAAGCTCTCTTCTGGTTCCTCCATATGTCAGTTTTTTTCTCTGGCCTGCCACTTAAAACGAGGACTGGGAGGGGTTATGTCGTCTTTCTTCTCTCCATATCCTTTCATCTTGCCTTTCCTCAACATAATCTCAGATGGCTCTGTCACAGCCAGGAGGACGAAGGGGGCCGTTTCAATGCTGGCCGTAGGAGGACAGGAGCGGAGGGGGACGGGGGTCCTCATTTCACGTCAGAGTGAGTCTGTGTTGATAATACATCAATCAAGCTGTTCTTTCCTCACCCCAAACCATCTAGATCTCCAAACAAGGCAACCCCAAGAGAGGAGAAGGGGTCAAGGGTGCAACAGCCTATGAGGAAAAGTCCTGCATTCTCTCGCTCTCACAAGCACACGCTCTCACGCACTCGCACGCACACTCGCTCTCAGACTGACAGAGTGTTACTGACATAGGAAACACTGATTTTTGAGTTCACATTCTCTCTATTTCCATCTCTGGCAAGATCTGGCGCCTCTCTGCTATGTCACATCATCCTCCTCCTCCGAGCTGTAGTCCCGCCCCTAAAGAATATGGAGAGAGAGAAAGATTAAATAAAAATGCTAAAATAAGTGAATTTGAGTTTCGGTCCTAACTAGCAGCAAGAGTGATAGGAGTACTACATTTTGTTGGTTGCCAGGTTGCTTCAACCACAAATAAAACTCACTGGACCAAAGTCCCATTCCTCATCAATATTAAACATCAACTATGGATGAGAACAGATTGCTTATGACAGCTAGTTTTTGGCACTAAATAAAAAACATTTTTCTCAGAATTGTGAGATAAAAATGAGTTTTAGAATGAGTTTAAATCTCGCGGTTCTGACTTTTTTTTTTTTTTCAGAATTCTACATTTACATCTAGCAATTCAGTTATTTTTGTTTTCGCCACAATAAAAAAGGTAATTGCGATTTTCTCACAACTCTGACTTATTTCTTGCAATTACGAGAAATATAAAAAAAAACACTGGCAATCTGATTTTTACAAACCTTGTTTAAAGTAAATTATATGGCAACCAATGTAGATATATTGACAACACTGTATCCATTTCTAGATGTGAATTTTTTCCTGACATGTTGGTGTTATATCTTTCACTTGGATGTTATAAGTTGCACTGAGTAAATACAGCTGGATAAAACAAAACCTGTGTTTTGATTATGATATTTTGATATGATTATTTTAAAGGTGGGTGATTCTTTTATACCCACTCTAACCCTGTTTCAACTTATTTAAAATTAAATCTAAAATGTCTAATTTATACCAATTGATCTCAGACCTCAAGAGAGAGAGACAAAAAGATAGATAAGAGAGGGAGAGAGAAAGGAGGAAGTAAGTACTGGGAAAAAACCAGAGCCATAAATATAGCATTTTATCTCCAGAGTTCTACAGGAAGTACCAGACAGGCGATGCACATGACGAAAGGACAAGACAATCGTTTAAATGTCACAATCTAGATAAACAAACAGTCCTCTGACGGGTAGTTTCATGTACACTGGCCCTTTAAAATCTCTAACCCATCTGCTGCCTGCTTTACTTCTGTGCTTTATTCTTTTTCTCCCTCCCTCACCTTCTCAATCTTCTCATCCAGCATTCTGAAGAACTCCTGCTGACTCTCTGACGTATGTATGCTGAGAGATGGAGAGAGAGAAAGAGAGAAAGTTAGTGGGGGTAGGAGATGGGAAGCAACAAATACACTAGAATTTTCCATTACAACAAGCATAAAGAACACAAACACACTCACAAGCTACCAGCTCCTGTAGGATCCAGAGTGGCTGGGCAGGAATCATTTTTATAGACGCATTACAGCAGGGACCATAAACCCTTGCCTCAACACATACACACACAGCACATTAACTGAGCATTACTCCATCGATACACATATAAAACAATAATGAACTGTTCATTCTTACTGAATATGCTCTCAAACACAATTTCTTTACCTCCAGTCAGCACCATACACCATACTTAATACTTTTGAACACCATATGTATTAGCTTTCTGTGTAATGTGTTCGTAATGTTCAAAACCCAGTGAAAATTAAAGTCCATTAAGTCATAAACAAATAAAATATTAATATCATAGATTAATTTACACTTAAATACTTATAGATGGTTTGAAACATTTTCATCTACTGTCCAGTTAAGCGCTAAATGTTTCATAAATAGCTAAACATATCACCCAAAAATTATTTCATTATTTACTCCTTACTTCAATTACCTTGATTTTGTTTTAAGACCTGTATCATTTTCTTTCTTCCATTGAACATGAAGATATTTTGCAGAAAGTTCATGCTGCTCTTTTCCATATAAACAAAAATGAGATTGGGGACTGAGGCAGTTTTTGCATGATTTTGTTGCATGCATTTTGTCAAGATTTTCACTAGGAATTTTGACAAAGGAATTTTTGGG